GCCCCGCAACCAAGGTACATGCCCTTGACCGGAATCGAACCTGGGACCTTTCAGTCCGCAGGCTGATGCTCTATCCACTGAGCCAAACAGGTTAGGGCAAGGCTTTTGATCCTCAATATGAAGTGGGCACAGTGCAGCTCCAACAGAGCCCACATAATTAAAGATGACAAAGGCACTTGTTTTCCCTGGGCCTGATTTCTCTTTAAATTCCTACTTTCTTATTTCTAGAGATCCAGGTCTAATGTTCCAGCAGGGGAACCAAAGATCCAGGTCTAATGTTCCAGCATCGGGGAACCAAGGATTATAAGTTATGACAGTCTGCAAAAGGCGCTTTAATTGTTTCTTGGTTATGAGGCACCATTCACCTTTCACAACTGTTTAAGCACTGTTATATATTGTTGTTGTTTTATGGACAACTTCTGTCCCATTGTGAAACTTTAGCTGAAAAACATACCCTGGAATTTGGATATTCCCAGTGAGCTCCAATGATTTACTGCGAAGTTACTTTCATTTCATTCCTCTTCCATTTTGAGGTTTCCGCCATGTCTCCTAGCATTCTCTGGTTGTCACAGGGGGCACCACCTTGCCTGGGGTGACCAGCAGACCCTGAGCGTCAGATGAATGATTACTCTGACACAATGTTTGCTGTGAAAGAGAGGGCTAAGGGACGGCCTGGCTAAAGGAATCAGACAGCCTCAATAGCCTGCCTCTTCAGGATTTTATGGTCACAGCACTTTGAGAGATAAAGTTTATCTTTTAGATACAATCAGTAAGGTAAGTAATCTTGGGAGGACACATGTGTTTGCGATGTCCATTAAGCAAGGGCACCAAAGATTAAAGCATAAAGATTCCAGTAAACACTCAGGGGTCTGCAGGAGCACAGACTTGTTTGTAAAGGTCAAGCAATAATTAGGGGCATTGCCTTCGGCACCCCCCTAAGTGAAAATCTAGATAAACAGGGTGGGCCGCCATAAGCACACGTCCCTTTTCTCCAATGTCCTCCTTACAAACTTTCCAAGCAAGACCCATGCTTCCCCAAAAGAGTGAGGCAGAAAGAAAATTGACAGGTTCCATGCACAGAGAAATGGTTTGGGAGGGTGGGGTGTTGTGAGTTGGAGAGGGGAGAGGAGGGGGAAAAAAGGCTAGGGGAGCCTGTGGCAGGGATGGTTTTGGGGGTCCCTGGGTGAACAGCAGGAGCCATAGAGGGGGATCTATTGACCACCTCATCTGGGGACTGCAGGACCTGACCAACTCCTCAGGTCCATAAGGGACACACTCAGGTGGAAGACTCAGTGAGCACCAAATCCCCACTGAAGCAAGTCTTGCCTGAGAAGGGTGTCTTTAGCACAGAAGTTCTCTCACTGCAGACACAGCTGATTCTCACAGCCAATTGGCCTAGAGGTCAATTCCTCCCAGTGATCCTACAACAATAAAGGCTTACCTACAACAAGACTGTGCACAAAGCCCACAAAGGGGTGCACCAGGAGTGTCCACCTCAGGTAACGGGGGAGGCTGAGCCACTGGGCCCTATAGGAAACCTAGCACAGAAAGACACTCTATCAACACAGGGAAGCATAAAAAATTCGGACACAAAGAATCAGGTCACAAAAGACAGAAATGGAGGAAAGCAAACGAGTGGATATAGAGTTCAAATCCACGGTTATAAGGTTTTTCAAGAATTTTCTGGAAATTGCCGATAAATTTAGTGAGACCCTGGAGGATATGAAAAAGGCCAGGGGAGCCAGTGGCAGGGATTGTGTTTGGGGATCCCTGGTGGACAGCAGGAGCCATAGAGGGGCATCTATTGACCACTTCATCTGGGGACTGCAGAACCTGAGCACAATGAAAAATTTTGGGCAGACACAAGGGTCCTGACCCATTGCCATGCACAGGAAGTTACATGGACAATAGTTGGGATTCCAGGAGAAGTTGAAGAAACTAAGATAACAGAGAAGGAAGGAATTAGGGGGCAGGTGAGGATCCAGGAGAGCGGGTGAAGGGTCTCTCAGGATGCTGGCCCTCCATGTTGGAGAAGCAGACTCTCTGGGGGTGGGGCTCTGCAGGATGAGTAAGAATTTGGGGGATGGAGGGGGGAGGTACATTGTGACAAATGCCTGCCCTGGGTGTGTCTGCAGATCCAGGTCTGAATCCCAGCCTCCCACTTTCAGCCTGTATGTTTTTAATTGGTTTTTCTTTTTATTGATTGATTGATTTCAGAGAGAGAGGGAGAGAGGGAAACATCATTTTGTTTTCTCACTTTTTCATGCTCTCACTGACTGACCCTTGTCTGTGCCCTTACTGAGGATTGAACCATGACCTTGGCACCCTCCAGGTATGCTCCAGGGCATGTGGGAGAGGTGGGCACAGAACCAAAACTAATCCCCAACCCCACTTTAAAAAAATATGTATTTTTTTTATTTTCAGAGAAGGGAGAGGGAAAGAGAGAAACATCTATGTGAGAGCAAACCATGGATTGGCTGAATCCTGCATGCCCCCTACCCGGGAAGGAGCCTGCCACCCAGGCCTGTGCCTTGACCAGGAGTTGGACTGGCAGCCTTTTGGTGCTTGGGAAGATGCACAACCCACTGACCCACACCCACCGGGGCCAGCCCTGCACTTTCCATGGAAAGGGATGGGGAACCAGAGCCTCAGGAGCTGGGTGAGGAGATAAGACTAGAATGCTGAGCCCTGAGTGAGCACAGGTTGGGGTGGGAAAGGGTGGACAGCCCTTTAGGGTGAATCCATCAGAGAAGAGGGCTGGGTAGGCAGTGGGGTGGTGCCTGACCAACCCCTGTGGGCTTCTGGGAACATTCTGGACAAAGGAGGCTGGAGTAGACATCATGGGGTCCGAGGTGCTTGGGACTGACACAGTGATCCTCCAGGAGCTACTAGTAAGTTCCTTCACCCAAAGGGGATGAAGGAACCCAAAGACCCGAGAAGAAGTTACCTTCCAGAAACCATGACAGCAAAGAACAGATGCTCCCTCCCACCTCATGACCTGCCTGACTTGGAGGTGGGGGTTGGGGGGCGGACGGCCTTGGGCCAACTTTGATGCTTCCCCACCTCTAAGGCTGCCCCATGAACCACCCCCTGCCACCTGCCCCAGCCTCCCCCTCACCGTCCCCTCCCCACAGCCATGTGCCCCTCAGAACTGCCAGGTCAGGGAAACCCAGAGGGAAACAGGCGAGTCCAGGTGGTGGCCTAAGAGACAAGGCGGAGTCAGACAGAACTCGCCCCAACCCCTCCATGAGCCTCACCCCACTCCTCCCTGGACCCCTCCCTCTGAAACTGACACAGATGGACCTGGGTGCCTGTCACTCCTTGAGTCAATTATTAAGCAGAGACAGGGTTGAATCCTATGAGAGTTTATTAGGATGGATTGCAGGCCGAATGGGAGCGAGCGGCTCTGGGACCAGGTTGTTATCTTTCCAAGATGACAGGAAACTCAGAAAAGGAGCCTGGACTGCATTCTGAGGTTAATCCCCATGTCCCTGGGCAAATAGCTCTCAGCCAGGGTGGAACCCGCCTAATTGGAAGAGAACAGTCAGTTAACAGACAGGGTTAATAGGATAACATATCTGGTCCCCACTGTTCTATTTCTGCCCCACAGCTCCTCACTGCGATTCCTCTCTCTCCAGCGCCAGCCCCCTCCCTGCAGGCAGGCCACCACCCCAGGCCCTGACTGTCCCTACCTCCTCCCATCCTTCTCCAGCCCCCTCCTCACCAGCAGGCTTCCTGGGACCTCAGGCCAGCAGAGCCAGGAGGCTCAGGGGCAGGAGCACGGCGGCCACGGAGAGACAGAGGGTGATCCCAGAGTTGGGAGGGCCCTTGCCGTTGGTGGGGCCCTTGGCGTTGGTGGGGCCCTTGCTGAAGACCAAGTCCTCATTCTCTTTTCTGAGGAGGAGATGGGGACGTTGTCCCCAGGGCAATGGGAATTTTCAGAGCCAAGGGGATCCTAGGTCTTGGGGGTGGAAGGAGGAAGGGGCGTGGCTTGGGGTGGGTGGGTGTCCTGACCTTAGTTGCTCCAGCTCCGCGGATTTCTTCTGCAGCTCCAAGGATTTGTTTTGCAGGGACTGATTCAATGTCTTGATCTCCTCTAAGGAGGGACAGAGAGTGTGTGTCAGCACCATAGCCACGCCCCTCATCTGTCCCCACCCCCGGAAGGACCCCGCCTCTAGCCGGCCTGCTTTTGAGCCAGTGCACCTTGGAAGTCTGGCTTGCCTGCCCCTTCCTACTTCTATTGGCTCTGGTCCTGTCCTCGCTGGACCCCAATCCTGAGGCCCACCCCTCCCTCCTCTTCAATACCTGACCGGCTCCTACAAACTCCCTGACTGTGACCTGGGCCTGTGTTTTTCTCACCTTGAAGCTTCTGTAGGAAGAGCTCCTGTTGCTTTTCCAGGGAAATCTTCAGGGTCTCCTGGGATGCCGGGAAGAGTAAGGGTGTAGCAAACTGGGGTTCTTGTCCCTGGTGGGCTTGGCTGCTGTCCCTGGGCCCTGACCCCCTCTCCAGGCCCTGGAGTCAGAGGGGCTCAGACCCAAACCCCTTCAGGGTTCCTGCCAACCCTCTCTGAACCTGTCCCCCACCCTGAAGAATAGCCACAGCCTCCCACTCTCCCAGGATGTGACTTTCAAAATTCGAGTTTCAAGTCCCCCCCCTAGGAATTTGGAGGCTCTCTTGGCCCAAAGCCTAGGAGAAATGTCCAGATCCCCTGGACTATTGCCCAAGAAGAGTTAGATGTCCCCTGAAACCCGGAACACTGTGGTATTTCTGTACCCAAGTTAGATGTCCAGTGGGACTTTCAAGGACCCCCACATCAAGGCCCAGTTAAAATGTTGCCTCTCAGGGATGCAGTGGAAGTACCAAGAGCCCCTGCCTTGCCCGGGCCACATAGCTCCGTTGGTTAGATCGTCATCCCAATATGCCAACGTTGTGGGTTCAATCCATGGTCAGTGCACATGCTAAGAATTAACCAATGAATGCATCAATAAGTGGAAAAACAAATCAATGTTCCTCTCACATTCTTATCTCCCTCTAATCTATAATAATAAAAGCCTAAGTGGCCATCGAAACCAAAAGGACTACAAAAAAGCCTGCATGGGGCGACTAGGCCACCAAGGGGGATAGTGAGGGGCAACCAAACGACTGAGCAGCAGGGTGCATGGGGTGACCAGGTCTGCAGGGGGGCAGTTGGGGGTGACCCGGTGGCAGGGGCAGGGCAGTGAGGGGTGACCAGGCTGGAAGGGGGGGCAGTTGGAGGTGACCAGGCAGGCAGAGGGAGAAGTTGGGGGCAACCAAGCTCGCAGCAGGGACAGTAAGGGGCAACCAGGCCAGCAGGGAGGGGCAGTTAGGAGCAACCAGGTTGACGGGGTGTGGGGGGCAGTTGTGGGTGACCAGGCCAGCAGGGGTGGCACTTAGGGGCGATGAGGCCAGCAGGCAGGTGAGCATTTAGGAGCCACTAGTCCAGGATGATGAGAGATGTCTGACTGCTGGTTTAGGCCTGATCCCCAGGATTGTGCCTAAACCAGCACCAGGACATCCCCCGAGAGGTCCCGGATTGGAGAGGGTGCAGGCTGGGTTGAAGGGACCCTCCCCTCCCCCCACGCCATGCACACATTTCGTGCACTGGGCCTCTAGTCAATAAATAAAAACTAAATAATAAATAAAAAAAGATTGTTGCCTTCTTCAGAGTCTGGTGGGCTCCCCATCCCAACCCCCAGAAGGATTTCTGCTTCCCTAAGACTGTGCCCAGGGGGAGTTCCCAGGTGCCCTAGACCAATGTCCTGGAGTTTGGAGATTCATCCACATCCTACTGGGGATACTGAGGCCCCTTATTGGGTGCTCTGGGGTCCCACACTGGCACCCCAGAGGGAGTTTAGAGCTCCCCAAAACCCTGATGGGGAAATTCAGGCTCTCCATGCAGGGGACTAGGGCCTGATTCAAGGTCTATCTCAATCTCAACCTTACTGTCCCTGCTGCCAGCTTGGTTGCCCCCAACTGCCCCCTCTACCAGCCTGGTCACCTCCAACTGCCGCCCTCCACCCCCGCCAGCCTGGTTGCCCCTCACTGCCCCCTCTCCCCAATCACCCAGACCCTGGGAGTCCTCCCAAGCACAGGGCCCTCTCTAGGAGGGGCAGTGACTTACCACAGTCTGGTTGCAAGTGGCAGCTTGGGCCTCGGTCCCCCGCAAGACTTCCTGGGCCTGGGTCAGCTCCTGCTCCAGGAGGTGGGTGATGTTTCGACACTCCTGCTCAGCCCGGAGGCCATCCTTGCAAGCTGGGCTATTGGCCTTGGCAGCAAAAAC